TACCTCGCCATTGAGGTACAGCAAATCGAACGCAAATAACTTGACCTTGACCACGATGTCTTCACTGCGGTAGCAAATGCAGGTGTCAAGGAAAGAGCTACGCTAAGCACAAAGTCCCCGTCACTCACGCTTTGACATCCTTGCGTTTCCGCCTGCTCAATTCCTGGAATGGCAGCAGCCGTGCCGGTTGTATCTCCCCTTTGTCGTCCTTCTCCTCTTTCTTCCAAGCTGTCACCTCTGCGTCCAGCACAAAGCTCTTGACATCCGGTTTGATGCACCTAGGTACCTGCTCGACAAGATCGGGATACTTCAAGCTCATGTTCTCCGAGTTCCTGCTAAAGACGGCCAGCTTCGTCTTCGGTGCTGTTGAAGGTGTAGTGGCCTTTGATGTGCTCCCCTTCGCTTCTCCGGGCACGAAGAAGTGGACCTGGGCCCGCTCGCCGTCGTACTTGTATTCGCAGGTGAACGCTTTGCCTTCGAATCGGTCCAGCACTTCGGTGATTGCCTTCGTGGGCTTCGCGAGCATTGGCTTGAGCGGAATGCCCGGCGTCAGCTTGCACGCTGCTCTGCAACCATCGATGCCGCTCTCGAGCAAGGCGGGCACCACGAGGTCGTAATTTGGCAACTCGCTGCGCAAAGTCTCTTTGGAGAGTAAGCATCGTAGCACCGGTGGTGCGCGATGCATCGCACTCACCTGTACACAGCCTTCACTACCTCAGTTCCTCGAGCAATTTCATTCGTCATTTCCTCAGTGTCGAGCCTTTTCTTCTCTGCAACCGTCCGAGGTTCGTCAGCAAAGCTAAAGAGGATCGTCTAGAGCTTTCCTGCACGACTCACGCTTCTTTGCGCCAGTCAGGACGATACTCTGGGCCAGAGCGACGAGAACAGTCCTTTCCGCTAATCCAATTCGAAGCTTGCCTTCCAAAGACCTAATGATGTACTTGGGCTCGTCATTCTGGGATGCCGCGAGAAGCTTCTTGATACCTCCGATCTTGCGATCTTGAGACTTGTTGCCGCTCATATCCGCGATCTCTTTCAGCTGCTTGAAGACTGCTGGCACAGTCAGCGGCGCGGGCTTGAACATGGTCGGCTGCTTCGCTCGAGAGCCCTGTCACGGCAAGACGACGAGAATCAGTAGGCGCGCATAGTGGACAACTGGCCTTGGCTACGCACGATAGCAACCAGTCCAAGATCACCCTTCGCCTCGAGGTCCTTCTTGATGACTTTCATATCGCGACCAGTCCCCTGCGCAATGGCCTTGAGGAGCAGTCCTTCGCCGATACCCAGCTCGAGGCCTTCGTAGTCCGGACAAAGCTGATACGAAGAGGGAGGAGACAGCACATGAGTGTATGCGTCGGTGAAGCATGAATGATGGTGCCTCGCACACTCACCCTATTAATGCAGAGATAGATGACGCGCAGGAAATTGTCTGGGCTCCGTTCGATGACAGTCACGAAGAGCTTTGTCAAGATCTCCAAAATGACCAATCGCTTCGTGGTAGCCTCAATTTCGGCAAAAGCCGCCGCAAGAGCTCCGTATGGTACGCTATTATGGGTTGCACAGTCGATCAGCCTTGTTGCGTACCAGTACGCATCAACGACTATCTAGCAAATTTCCTGACTCACGCCTCCCCAGCCTTCCATTTGATCTTGTCCACTGTTTCTGTCGGCTTCAGGAAGATCGCAGCTCTGTAGGACCGATAGCAGGCTGGCTGAGCAAAGGTCATCCTTTCATCAGCGTAGCTGTCCGACTTACATCTTCTTGTGCGCGTGGCCTTCTTCAGCTTCAGCCTTTTCCTCGTCCTCGTCCTCGTCCTCTGCCTCTTCCTGCTCGTCATCCTGCTCTACAAAGCTGTTTTCATCTTCCTCCTCCACCGCTTCCTTGCGCGCGGGAGCCTTTCCATTGTCTTCCTCTACCCTGCGCTTCTTTGAAGACTGCGCTTTCCCATTAGGTGACGTTTTGCTAGCACTAGAGCCTGATGGCGCGGGTGTCGCCTCATCGTTCACCAGCTCCTCCTCGGATTCCGACTCGATAATGACAGGTCGCTTCAATCGAGACTTTCGCTTTTTCCGCTCTTCGCCTGTACAGCGTCACATGCGGTAGCGTTTCGTTAGCTACCAGCAGCACGCTGCATGAACAACATTCCACGCAGCTCACCCTGATCAGCATCGTCTACCTCTCCGCCCAAAGTGTTCCGCGTCTCCTCTGCCAGCTTTGACGAAGAGGCCTGCGGCACAGCCTCCTTCTGTCCTGCTCGCCTCGCCTCCTCGCGCTCATTCTCGCCACTTGTCATCACCCTATCCTGCGGCTTCTTAGACTCATCGTTACCATTCCTGGCGGATGCTGCATTGTCTGCCTTGGGCGCACCAAACGTCAGCTTGCTCTGGCCCTTGTCCTTCTTTGTGCCGTCCGATGGGCCGGGCTTGGCACCAAAGAAGCCTCTGGGTGATAGGGTGGAGGGCGATGCTGAGCATGTAGTTACACTGAGTGCCAAGCTGTGAATGGAGGCATTGCTTACCCGATCTGTTGGTCTCGCGCCATCGCTGTCAATTCCGCTGCAAAGCGGAGGCCTGGACCGGCAGAGTACTCGGCGCTGCTTGAGACGCTTACGAGACTCGATGTGGACCGTTGTGAGAGCCAGATGCTGGACTTGTGCAGAGGAAATCGATCGAGTCTGTGTTGACGTTGCGGTCTGCGTCCACAACACGTGTTTGGGGAGAGTGCTGAGGTGCGATATTGAATCCTCTGATGAGCGTGT